AGCTTCACCCGCAGCTGGGGCAGGTCATGGGGGCCTCCCAAGTTATTGTACAGGAAAGCCTGGAAAAGGATGAGAGTTTCCTCGCTGCCGATGAAATCAGTGTTAAAAGTGTATTGTCTGGCCTAATCAGATCCGGGTGGTGCGCTGGCTCACAGCGCCAAGTGAAGCAATAAATAACCCTTTGATTTGTCTTGCAGGGAAATGCAATGTGTCACTGGGGCAGGTCATGGGGGCCTCCCAAGTTATTGTACAGGAAAGCCTGGAAAAGGATGAGAGTTTCCTCGCTGCCGATGAAATCAGTGTTAAAAGTGTATTGTCTGGCCTAATCAGATCCGGGTGGTGCGCTGGCTCACAGCGCCAAGTGAAGCAATAAATAACCCTTTGATTTGTCTTGCAGGGAAATGCAATGTGTCAGTTATCACAGCACACTGCATCAAAACGCAATGTGGCATAATGAATCAAACTTCCAAAAATACAACTTTCTTCCTGAAATAGACTCCTCGCTGTCAACTTAAACTCTGCCAAAGAACAGCCATTTGATGTACGGTACTTTTGCCAACATCTTAGAAAAGTGGATATTTTTAATTATTATTTATAGTGTGGGTAGGCGTCTAGATCGAGCGAAGTGCCTCTGTGCAAGTATGTGCTAGTTGTTATACCACAGAAAACCCCAAATCCAGCCCGCATGCCACACTGACCTGTGACCTTGCACCATCACGGTGGGCCACAGGGAGACCTCTGCAGCTGGAAGCGTGGAGTAGCAGAATCAGTTATCACCTTGGGTCTGCAAACACCATGTTTTGTGAGACCAGTTAATTTTGCGCTTTGGAAGGTGGGGGAACATCAGGCCCTGGGGTGGCAGCCCTGGGCACCCAAACTGTGAAAGAGGGCTTTAATTTTGATTCTGGGTCTTTCACTGTGGAGCAGGGACATCCCTGCTGGTTTTGCATCGGCATTAACAGTGACTCAAGCCCTCCATTTCCCTGGTGCTTTAGTCTTTATACATTTCATTTTAGAAGGGAAGGAAAAAAAAAATGCAAGAAGAAGGTGGTAGACTAAAGAAAAGCTTTGAGGGGAAAAAAAAAAAATCACTCTTTGCTTGTGACACTTGAATATTGCACAGCAGAGCCCAGCGATGTGGCCTCTGATCCCACCTTAAAGCAAGCGACAAATAGCACCTGTGCTGGAGGGCACTGGCAGGGAGCTGGGTGGCCGGATTAAGACGCGAGAGCAGATGGCTCGTCCCAGCTCGCCGGCCCTTGGCAGAGGGCGCTGGGGAACGGCGGTGTTGGCTAGGTCGGAGCACATCGGGTCTGAGCGCTGCCAGGGCTGCAGCCCTCCCCGAGCCAGCGGCGCACCCGGCGCCTCCCCCACGGTCCCAACGCACGTGGCTGAAGGCACAGAGGGGTGGGTTTTTTTAATTTTTTTTTTATTTTTTATTTTTATTTTCTGAGCAGTAAGTCGGGCTGGAGCTATGAACTATTCAGGTGTTTGTATTAGTCACACTGCAATGGGAAGATGAATCTTCCTCGATTACAGCGCTCATTCACAAGGTCTTGATCCCTGGATAAACCCAGAGTGGCTCGGTGGGGCCAAGGGGCAGAGTCAGGGCACCTGCCTGCCGTTTACCGATGCGGGCGAGAATAGCTTGATAGTCATCTGCCGTGGCTAACAGGCGGGAAACTGGTGCCAAGAGATGGAAAAAAAAGCAAGATGTATGAGCTCAGATCTAAATTTTGTCAGACTTCTCTTGTCAGGGAGAAACTGAAAAAATAAAAGGAAAAATCATCAGAGAAAGTCTGAGAACCAAAAATACTGCACTGCAAAGACACTGCAAGAAGTCGCTGTTATTGATGGTGAGAGCTCAGGAATTTAGTTCCCAAGCAGTGATGTCTAACTGCCCTGAAAGACTGCTTCTGATTTAGTCTTTAAGGAAGAAAAGAGGCGAATTGCTTAAAACACAGCGACATAAGGTTTTTTTTTTTTTTTAAGCAGAATACATGTTATTGGAGACAAACGGTTATACAATTTTTGAAAGGAGAGAAATGAGTCTGTCCAGTCACTAGACTGCAAGAAGCATCTCCGTACTCTGCCTCGGGGTGAGTTAGGTCTGGGAAGAGCCCGGGGCTGCAGGTGATGCTGATGGTCAAGTGCAGCGGCTGCTTCATTAGCACACACAGAGCTTTAATCACTGGGAATAATGAAGTGGCATTTTGGGGATGTTTTGCTGCACGACCTTTGACGCGTGTCCCGGCTGCTGCCTAGAGGGACGTGCCACCAGCGCCCTTGCGCAGCGGCTCTGGCCTGGGCTCCCTCATTGATCTGAGCAATGTTTCAAAGAGATCATTTATTTTCATTAGTCTTCTGCCAACGTCTTCACATCAGCGTCCCCTACGTAGGTCGACTTCTGTCCTCAGGAATGCTTTAATTGCATTTTCTCCGCTTTACGCAGTTCTTAGCTAATGGATTCCGGCTCCATTAGATTAGACACCGATTGCCCTGCGGATGGTGTCATGTTGTCCGATGGCTTCAGGCATCGGCTCAGGAGACAGGCGACCAGAAGCCTCACTCACCTGGCTGAGCGATGGCGGTGCCTTTCCCACCCCGGCCAGCCCAGCTTTAAATGAGGCTCTGCCGCAGAGACCAGCACAGCGCGATGAACAGGAAGGCTGGGAAACAGCCAAGGTCAGACATGAGGTTTCCCAGAGGTCTGGAGCAAGGGAGCAGGGCGC